TAGGGATGATGGGTGCTGAGATGAGAAGATGAATTAGCTAATGAGTAAAAAGAACAACTATGTAGTGTCCTAAAGAATGTACCTGCTCTCCTGAAAGCCAGGGTTTACCAGACCTTAATGATTCAAGTATTGTTTCCACAATATGACTATATCTGAGGTGAAGCTTCTTCTGTTGGCTTTCCTCTCTGTTACTTTTGTTTTTCCTTTATACCACATGTACTCTTTATTTAACAGAGTTTTCTAAAATTGGTCACTTTTTTGGGGGTACAGGCCAGAGGTACGGGGTGATGAGAGGATCCACCAGAGACAGAGTGGGGAACAGAACAGGTAGACTGACTGAAATACACTGCTGCGGGGAGCAGCGGGCAAGACAAGAGAGGTCTGCTGTGCCATGTGGTCAGCTCCCTTGCAGGCCAGGGATCAAACTTGGGCTGCAGAGGCTGTGGATAGCTTCACAGTGCTGTGCTTAACACCTTGCGCCTCCAGGGAGGCCCAAAGCTGGTCCCTTTTAATCATATTTGCTTTTAAGAGTAACATTATGTCAGTGCTGTAAATACAAAACCAGTGCCACTGGCAATAAATTGAAGATCACTTTAAAATGAATGTAATGGGAACAGAGCATTCCTATTGACTCTTTCTGCTTCTGAAAATCTCTGTGCCTACTGCCTGCAGTTTCTGTATTTTCAAGGAAGACTACATTCTGGGAATGAGTTAAATTCATCATAGAACCAAACCTGACACCCTTAAATTAATCAGAAGGATGGGGGAGAGTTGTAAGATGTGCAAGTGCCTGTCACCCCCCAGTCAGGGTGTTCAGCGCAGTTCTCAGATTCTGCAGGGATATGCATTCGACTGGGGGTGGGTGGGATGTGAGGGACATTATTTCAGACAAGCGTGGGTTTTGAGGTTTTGAGGTTTCAGGTTTTGAGCTAAGAAGTGACAAAATTAGCCCTATATGAAGAGGAGTCATACAGGACTGGAAAGAGAGACCCAAAGGAAGCAGGAAGAACTTTACAGAGACTTTGGGAGGGTCCCCGGGTGGTGCAGTCAGTGTAGTAGGATGAACAGAAAAAAACAGATTAGAAAGGGCTTTAGGATGTGATCACAGCAGGACTTGGTCCCTGAGGGATGAGAGGCAGCGGGGTTGGGGGTCAAGGAAAGAGAAAGGTCAACAGTGGATTGCTCGGGAGACTGCATCAGTGGTCATATGCTTCAGGTCGGGTGCACAAGGTCTACATTTAGGGGAGACAGAGGAGAGAGAGAATTTGTGTTGTGCATGTGTGTACATGTGTGTGCTGGATAAGGAATGAGAATGCAGAAGTGGAAGAACTAGGCCCGGGGTGAGCAATAAGCCCCTGGATTGGAACATGCTGCCTGTCACAAATAGATGAACATCCCAGGCTCCCATAAATGCTTGTTGTATAAATAGCTAAGTGTGGATAGTCAGCTGGCAATTGAAAATACCTTGCTGGAGATCAGAGGCATTCCAAATGTCAGCTACACGAGAAGAGATAATTGTGGCCTATAAATCAGCCTCAAATCAATTTCCATTTATGTGTGACCATTTTAGAAAATTTGTGACATAGTCAGATAGACAGGTTTAAGGTGTATTAGACATGTTTACTTACGTAAGATGTTAAAAATGAATCCAATCAACTCGAAGGTCATTAACAACCTACGTATGGAAAGCAATTTGCTGGGTGCTTTGAAGACTACAGAGATCAATTAGACACAGACCCTATTCTCACAAAGCTTTAAAGATCTAAAAATAAGATAAAATTTTCAGGGATTTGAAGTTTAACGTGGGAAGTGTTTATTCATGATTTTGTGAAAATAAATTTAACCTATTCCTAGTCATGATAGTCTGAACATTGTTTCCACATATTAGAAGAAATGTATTGGGGCGTTCGGGTAGAAAAATACTACAGGTGAAATTTTTGCTAGACTTTTACAATAAGAAATGAAAATCTTACTAGTCCTTCCCTAAAAACCCCATTTGCCCAGCTTAAGAGAAATAAACTAAGTTATATCTTTTATCTTATGCATAAAATTGCCCTTCTTCTGAGGTAGGTATATGATATATAGTAACATATATTGAAATATACTGCGGTAGTATATTGGAGCACTCTCATGAAAACCTATTCAATAATCCATTTTTCATGACTAGGATTTTTTCCCTAGCAGTCAACACACAGATTTCGCTCGCAGCCTAAAAAAGAGTCGTAGGTTTGATAAGGGGAAGGACACCACGCCTACTGTTGACGCCCCTTCTTCAATTTCTAGAACCTTCTGTGAAAAAAAAAATGAAAGTGTTTTCGTAAGACTCAGACAGAATTCATTTCCATAGAGCGTTTTTAACAGCTCCTGTCAGAACAAAACAGCTGGGACACATATGGTATCCATTTCCCTGTATCACTTGGAAAAAATTTCACATGTAAATAAAGCCAACATAAAAGAGTAGCCCTTTGAACCTTCAACCTTATACAATACATAAATATATGGCCACAATGCACTCATTGTGTAGGCCTACTAGGTTATGTGGCTTTAAATTTTTTATTACATCCTGAGATGCACATTTTCAAGAAATTGCAAAGAAATGAAGGTACTTAGCAAAATAAGAGCAAATCAACACCTAATAATAAGTAGATATCTCAAAAATGACAATGACAAGGGGTATTTTATATATATTTTTCCCACTAGTTAAAGCTTTTCAGAAAATGAATGAATAAAATTAAAGGTGTATTTATTTACCTTTTCAAATTTTATGTCCATGATCTCTGGTATTTTAAATAAGTAACCATGTGTTCTTGAAAGGGAGCGAGAAAGGCTTGGCAGAAATTTCTGGCAGTCATTACTTTTTCATAACTTTACATTTTTAGGGGAAAAAAGGACATATATAGAGTAGGAAAACTATCAAATGCATAATAGACCAACTGGAATTAGCCTTTGCCTTTACATATTTACATTTCATAAATAATTTTAGAAACTCTACTTCTTATTGGTGATTATCACTCCTCTGAGTTTATTAACAAAACTTTGTCCCTGTGAAATTAAACTGTAAATCCCTCGGAAGGATGCACATTGGACATTTACAAAGAGGTTTAATGAGTTGTGCAAAATGAGATTCCAAGTCAAATACTAGAATTTGTTAATTGTCTGCTCTGTGCCAAGAACTGTGTACAATCAAGAATCAGAGCCAGTGACAGGGAACAGATGCAGCAACTTAAAAGCACCTAGACACTTCCCTTCTGGAACATTCCCTGATAATACCTGTTCCCTACTTCACAGAATCCATGCTTCCCTCCATAGCTCATACTGTTTTCTTAGATTCCAAAATGCCAGACAGTCCATTGCCACAATTGTCCATTGTGGGGAATGAACTCACTACCAGTTGTATGGATTTGAACTCATGACATTCGCTTTTAGTCCTTGCCTTGGTTCCAGAACTTCTTGGAATCCTTTGAGGACACACCCTCACTGAAGAAAAAATGACCAGGGATCTACATTTGGGGAACTTCTCATAACTCATAACTCCTTTGCCACTTTAACCCCAAGAACTAGTGGAGGCTAGGGACTATGGAGGAAGTCAGACCTGGGGGCACCCCATCTCAAGTTCTTTCATTATTTGTGCCCGGTAGTGGCAAGGAACAGGCACATGCCTATGCTTTGGGGTTAAATACTCCCACTTGCTGTCATTTCAGAAGAGGGGAGCCAGGCAGGAGTCCCTACTTGGAAGGCATGTCCTGAAACCTTACCTCTTTGAGGGGGACTGTGGAAACCAAGTCGAAGGGAAGTAGGAACCCATAAATCAGTGTTCTGCCACCTCCTTAAGGTGCTGGGTCACTTGTGGACTGATCCCGGGAGTGTCTAGAGAGGAAGCAGAGTCGTCATGGCGGAGGGGACTTGTGCCCTCACTAAGAGGAGGCTGGGCAACCTTTCATGGGCAGCTCACAGGCGGGGCACCTCAGATGTGTCCTCCAGATCTGTTAGCTCTAGATGTTTCTTGCCGGTTCACTTACCAGACACTTACTCAGATGTCCACCTCACAGCCTTTATCCAGGCCCAGGTGGAGGAAAAGAGTCAGCCGAGCTCACCCACCCTTTGCAACTTCCTTTGCTCCTGAATTTCCAGCCCAGGAGGGCAGCTTTGAATTTGAAAGAGCATGTTCGCAAAGGACGCATCAGTGCAGTTTGTGGCAGCATTGCAGGCCAGAGCTCTGTGAGGTGCCCCTCAACAGTGACTGAAAACATGTTCAGTCTGGGCTGGAATGCACTCAGCCCTGCTTCTCTCCCATGTCTCATCTGCCTCTCACACACTTTCCCTCCTGTTCTTTCCCTGATCCATCTGATGAATCACCTAGCAAACCCCCCACTAGATCCTGTTTGCCCAATATTAAATAATGTGCTCCCCCCTTTGTATGGGAATGCTTAAGCTTTTTTTTTGGGGGGGTCATGCATGCATGCATGTACACATGTGTACCTGTGTGCTCACACATCATGTATTTTCCCTGAATTAGTCTGGATGTTCGTTTAACACAGAAGGTCCTACCCTCCAGTTCTGTTTTTCAGGGCAGTGACAAGTGTCAAAATACTGCCAGGTACTGTGAGGTATAACACACTGGAGGTGTGAAGTTGTACTCTGCAAGGCATACAGTTATGAAATGATGACAAATTAAAAAAATATTAGTACTGTCAGGGAGATGTAACTCTCCAGGGAATAGACCCAATTGTCTGTCTGGGTTTGTTCCTTGAACTCTGTGCTTTTTAGTGGTAGTACCACTTCAATCCATTTGGAGCCAGTCTTCCATAACTTTGATGTATCCATTGGTGTTTTCCAATGGTAAGTTTGAACTATGTGTTTTATGATTGATATTCTCTTGAAGTCATCCATCGCACCCAGGTTAACTTTGAGCGTAACTTCAGTGGACAGTGTTGCCTGTGTGGCCAAGATGTGTTCAGTGATTCAGTAATCTCCTCGTCTTTTAATTTTTTTAAAAACAGTTTCTGGCTCTAGCTGGAATTGTGGCGTCTCCACACTCATTGCAAATGCTCAGAAGCCCACGGGGATCGCCGATGTGTACAGTAAGTTCCGCCCCGTCAAGCGAGTTTCCCCACTGAAGCATCAGCCCGAGACTCTGGAAAGCAATGAAAGCGATAATCCAAAGAACCAGAAGGTGGACTACCAGAAAGGGGATGATTCTGACCCAGGCCCCCAACCTGAGGAGCTCAGCTCCGGGGAGGGAGAGGGCGGCCCCCAAAGTCAGAGCAGCGAACCCAGCACGTTGTTGGGCGAGCTGGAACACTATGATCTGGACATGGATGAGATTCTGGATGTGCCTTACATTAAATCCAGCCAACAACTTGCCTCCCTTACCAAGGTGACTTCAGAAAAAAGAATTTTGGGTTTATGCACAACCATCAATGGCCTTTCAGGCAAAACCTGCTCTACAGGAAGCGCTGAAAACTCGCCGTCCAACACGACACCATTTTGTGTTCTCTCTCCCGTGAAAAGCCCTCACTTGAGAAAAGCATCCTCTGTCTTCCGAGACCAGCCAAAGCTCTCCACTGAGGAATGCGAGAGCTCGACTCCGGTGGTTAAGTGTTGCTCTGCCTATGAGTCTGAAAGCCAGAGTAAGGACTTCCTCAGCAAGACCCTCAGTGAGGCTCACAGTCGAAGAGGCGAGAAGGGGCTGCCAGATTGCCAGCTCAGGGCCTTCCAGCTGCCACCCGCGGCAACAGAACCCAAAGTGGAAGAGCAGATGGGGGCCATGAACTGGACCAACTCCCAAGGCCCAGAAGAAAGGAGTGAGTATCTAAAAAAGGCGAAAAGCATCTTGAACATCGTCAAAGAAGGACAAATCTCTCTCCTGGTAAGTAGGATCGAATTTGAGATACCTTGTCCTCGTGTGAAGACTCTGGTTATCTGAGCTCTGCTGGTTAGTGACAGAATGCTGTAGACTCGTGTCTCTTCTCACTTAATCTTTACTTATGGCTTTAGCTGGGAGATGTGACTTTGAGTTTTAAAATCAAAAGTTAGGTTAGTACAGGGAAAACCAAATAGCTATGGAGGGAGTATTATTTCACTTTAACTTTGCATAAATTCAACCAGAATAAGGACCCTGTATTTAAAACAAAATCAAACAAAGCAAGCCCAGCACTTTCTACAACTTGAATCTTAATGTCTTTCCTTTTTGCTTTTCAAATGGTTCCCAAACCTCTCACTAGTTATTTGTGGGAATGTCAGCTACTTGCTGATGGTGGACCTGCCAGATACATGAACAGAGGGTCTTCTGTTTTATCCTGATCATTATTCAGAAGCCTTGGATTAGGGTGTTTGAATGCATTTGCAGAGAAAAGCTTACTCTAGAGCTTGATTGCCCTCAGGCCCTCATGGGGTTTTTAGTTCCAGCTTGCATGTCTAGGGAGTGTGAAGAAGCTTTTCCAAAGACTCTAGACGCAGAGTAAGATGATGTAAGAAAAGTCTGTTCTGCTTAGGCTCAGAAATCACACTCCATCTGCCTGCATTGTTCTTTTCTGGCTTCCAGACTTGGATGAAACAGTAGCACGGCTGGGTTGATACGATGATGTTAATTAAAGTCTCATTCAAGAAAATCATCACATCTTGACAGTGTGAATCTACTTAGAGTAAAATCAGGCATAGATAAGTACAATGTGCTTGGCTTACAATCACAAAGTGTATTGTTTTAATAGGATGATATGATTGAACAATTTTACTGAATATTTGCTTTCTCTTGAAAGTGTCTTTTCTACTTCTCCCATTTCTCTTTGGCTCATTCCTTTCTTTTGTCCACCCCAGGTTTTTCTATTTCCAAAATGATAGCCCCTCTCAATTCATCCAACAGTCTCATCAGCCATTCATACTCAGGGGACTATACTTCAATAGCAGTGAGAAAGCCAAAGGCCACGTTGCCTCCAGATGTCCCAGGAGTATGTCTGGCCTGAAAGGGTCTAGAGGTCCCCATGGAAGCAACTAGCACCGACAGTTACCATGTCGTTTGCAATCAAAGCTAGTTGTTCACAATTCAAGGCGAAGCAGACAGTGGAAACAAGTAGTTCATTCATTCAGCAAACCTACAGCAGGGAATAAAAGATCTGGCCCTCTGGACTGAGCGGTTGAGTGGAGGAAAGACAGGGGTGTAGTGTGTAGAAAGCCAGCTCGCAGACCTAGCCCTGTTGCTGTGTCTCACATGAAGATAAGACTCTTGAGTACTCTTGTTCTAAAGTGCGGTATAACAAAAAAATTGTCATGGGAAAACATTAGAATTAATAGCAAGGAATTCAGCCTTATTAGATCCCCACAGCTGCCACCAGAGCTTCTGGAAGCTCATCTCTTCTGCCCAGTGTCCACAGCAAAGCCCCCAAAGCATCTCATTCTGGTTGATGAATGTCACTTTTCTAATCTCACTATTTTGTACAGCCACACCTAGCTGCCGACAATCTGGACAAAATTCATGATGAAAACAGAAACAATCTCTTGCACATCGCTGCATCGCAGGGACACGCAGAGTGTCTGCAGCACCTCACCTCTTTGATGGGAGAAGACTGCCTCAGTGAGCGAAATGCAGAGAAGTTGACTCCAGCGGGCCTGGCCATCAAGGTGACTGGTTGGGGGTGGGGCCCTGCACAGTTAGATGCTGTGTATCTTTTTTTTTAAGATTCATAGTGAGCTAAAGTGTTGGAACAGAGAGAGTGGCATACCATGCAAATAGCAAATGAACATATTATGTTGAAGATGCTAATCTTTGTAGTCACTCACTGCTTTGGGATTTGAGACTGCATTCAGTTTATTGTGCAGTGAGGGTAAACTTCAAATCAGCTAATAAAGAGGACAGAACCTGATATATTACAGTTTTGAGAACTGTTCCTATTCGTGGTGACTGTGAGTTAGATTCTTAACCACAACTGGATCTACCCCAGACTTTCCTTTTTTCCTAATGTGAGTATAATGAGCAAGCCAAATGAGGAAAAGGTATATTTTAAGGGAGGATAGCACTCAGGAGTATTTCAGATAATAAAGTGGGCTTTTAGGGAATCTCATCTGAAGTTTAAATGTCTTTAGGAGCAGAAGTTGTCTGGAGTGTGACTGAGTGTGAGTTTACCTCTTGCATCACGTTGACTGAGACTGAGTTAAAAACCTACACGCTGTGATACAGGAAAGCATGGCCTGTTACAGCACCAGTGTGAGTGCCTCTGTAAAATCACTAGAAGTTTCATGGTTAAACTAAATTTAAGTTTAAGCTCCTTGGCAATTAAATGTGTAATTCAGTTATATTTATTAAGAAGCCAGAAATGAGGCTCAAGCCAGTATATGTACTATCACATCTATACTTGGTTTACATAATAGTGATGTCTTCTAAAAGCTGAATAATAGTAATTTTATAAATAAAATTACATTGAAATTGACTTGGGGAACTCACTAACTAAACCTGCTTGTGCCTGAATGTGCTGAAGGACACATGACATTTGAAAAGCCAGCAATTGTTGTCCTGCCCCTAAGATATCTTTGATGCAAATGTGAATTTTTGTATCTTTCATCTATTTACCATTAAGTAGTTTTACACATTAAAAACATGTTTTCTATTTATTTAATTGTACTCAAGGGCAAGGCATTGTTTCAAAGATAGCGTAGAAAATATCCTTTGCTGGTATGAGAAATCTGTGGCCCCGGTGGGGTATGTATCATTTCCCTTCAGTCATGAATGATGCAATGTCAAAGGAAAGGCTAAACTGCAGGCAGCCATTGTGAGTAGAGAGAAGTCAAAGTTAGCACAGTTGAGTTCAGCAGTTCACCCCAAGTCCACCAAGTACTGTGTTAGGTGCTGACAATACAAATTTGAATGAGACACAGTCCCTTTTCTTAAGGAGCACATAGCCTGATGGATAAGACAGGTAAGTTACCAGGTGCATGACGGCCAGTTGAACATCTTATCCTGTGTCAGATCCTGTGGGAAGTCAGGAGTCCAGTCTCGTCATCAGTGTACACATGTCAGTGATGAGCAAAATATTCCCCCAGTGCCAGTAAATGCTGTTGACCCTTGACTAGACATTGCAACATTTGTAAAGTATTTGAAAAGTACAGTTCTCATTCCTTTTCTTAACTAAGGATAGATTTCGAATATATCCTAACTACAGAGTTGGGGAAATTTTTTTCTAAATTTATGTGCCCTTTTCTTGATAGATTAATAAGAATTTTTCGGGTAGGGAGGTCCATTGTCCTCCCTGTTGCCACTGATCTTACCCTGGTATAAACTCCTTCTGCGGTATCCACAGTAAGTGCTAACTCTTAAACTCGCCAGTCGGCGCACTATTGCCATCACATAATCGGCATACAGACTTATGTGTAAGTCTTATACATAAGTGCACATCTTTGTTTTAATGAACAGCACATATCAAATCCCTAAGACTCATGGGTGCTTATAATTTGAGTTCTTAGGCTTTTTGTGTTTCACTTCTGGGCAATGATTTGAGAAACGGAAGTGTTTTTCTATTCCTGATTTTAGTCTAGAATTTACAAGCAGTAGATAGAAGCATTTATAGCAAGTGCCACCTCTTTGGAAGTTTATCTTGATCCATGGCCTACCTTGTCCACACAGTGTATTTCCATGGGCTGTGTTGAAGTGGGGAGATTCTGAAGAACTAATCATTCTTTCTTTTTTAGACCTTGTTCTGAGCAACAGTAACTGACTGAGAGTGTTTCATCTCATTAAACACAGTTCCCAGAGCCCTGTTGTCATTAAAGATAAACAAACTTAACACAAATTTGCAGAAGTTGCTCAGATAATATGACTTGGCTGACAAGAAGCAGAGTCAGAGATAAGGTATCAAATGAAAAGATTACCTGTGAAAAGGACTTGAAGTCCTTCTATCACTTAAGAACATCTCTGCCCCACTCTGAAATTCCTTAAATGGAACATCATAAATTCTGGCCAGTTGCATGCAGAATTTATTGAGTGTTTTCAGGAGGCCCCAACACTAGATACTGTGGGAGTTGTGGCCATGACTGAGTGCCCTTTGGGAATGGTTGAGCAAAATAACTGGAAAGAAATGTGTTCCCATTCCTTCTTCATTCAGAGCAAATGAAGCACATTTTATTGTTTCTGTTGTTTGTTTTTTTCAATAGTGGTAGGAAACACTTGGCACCCTCAAATTGTGTAATTTCAGGAAAGTCTATGGTGGATGAAGGGATCACCTAAAGCGGGGGTGGTAGGGAGGGAGTCCCAAAGGAGAGCACAGTATCCTGGGGTCTTTGACAGCTAGAGCCAGAGGGAGCAGGGGAAATACCAGAGAAAGAGAGGACTGAATGGATGGACTGGCTGACTTTTGACCTGTGACTGGAGGAGGGACTCAGCCAGTGGCAGGAATCAAGAACTGAGGAAATCTTGACACTCTCCCCTTTCCTGGTCTCCAACCACAAGCCAGGAGCCAATAGAACCAGCCCACACAGATCAGCCTCCACAACCAGGAGGGCTGGGAAGGAAGGCAATAGATCATAAGGGGCCGTGGAAGATATTCACAACATAGCTGACCCTACTAGATGCCCCAAATGCAGAGAATGGGCTGTGCGTGTGACTACTTAGCAGTCAACTCCTTGAAACTCCATTATCCAAGTCACAGTGAATGAAGGAGGAGCAGATTCCCTCCTCTGTCTTATTTTCAGAAAAGGCTTCCCAGATTCTATCACCAAGGAGCTCTTTTCTCCTATGCAAAGGTCCCACCTCTGCAAAGCTAAAGATCTCATTTACCTTTGAGTTAGTGTGAGGACCTGAGAGAACATTCTAGTCATGTCAGGTAACATGTCTATATACTTAGCATGCTTCCGTGCCCTCTCACTTAATCTTCACATTTTATCTTTAGGAAGTAGTTATTGCTGTTCCTGTATTTCACATATGAAAATGTCAAGTCTCAGAGGAGTGAAGTAACTTGTTTGGGTCGTATAACTAAGTGGTGAAATTAGGACTTAAATCTGTTCTGAAGTCTGGGCCTGTTGTGTTGCTGTGACACCCGACACAACTTCCTTCCTGCTTGCACAGCATGGGATCTCAAGAGAAAGATGCTGGGGCCATCATCAGGGAAGGCTTCAGGGGCTTACCTTTTAAGCCAGGGCCAGAACTTTAATTTTTGTCTTTTTTTTTTTTTTTGAAAGATTGATTTATTTATGCATATGAGAACTGGGGTGTAAGCCAGAGGTGCAGGGGGTGAGAGGATACACCAGAGACAGAGTGGGAACAGATTAGGCAGATTGACTGAAATACACTGCTGAGGGGAGCAGCAGGCGAGATAGGAGAGGTCTGCTGCGCCATGTGGGTAGCTCTCTGGCCTGCCGAGGATCCTAACCGGTACTGTACTGGCTGGCAGTAGCTTGATATCGCTGACTTTAACCTCTGCGCCACCAGGGAGGTCCTAGTTTCTCTTTCTTTAGTTTAGAATCCTAACCTTTTTAACTTGTCAAGGGCAGGAGAATATTCCAAGAATTAGTGGATAAACAGTGGTATATTTGAAGAAAGGAGTATTTGTCTGCAATTAAAAAGGAACAAACTACTCAAACTAGCAGTAGCTTGAATGTAACTCAGAGGCTTATGCTGAGTGAAAGAAACCAGATCAAAAAGAGTGTACACTCTGTTCTATTGTGATAGACATTCTATCCATGGTTGCCTGAGGCAGAGGTGAGAGGGATGTGCTAAAGGGGTGTGACTATTTTTTTGCTGGGTGTTGATGGAAATGTCCTATAGCTTCACTGAGTTGTAGTTACCAGAGTGTGCATGTTCACCAAAACGAATCTAACTGTACACAAGTAAAAGGGGATATTTTTAGTAAGTAAATTATACCTCAATGAAGTGATTTTGAAATCACTGATTTAAATAATGACAATGTGTTTAAGTAAAAATTATCCAAGTGCTTTAGTGCCAGAACCACAGATCAAAAATATAATAGGTGATGTATTTGCATTATAAATAAATTAAGTCTGATATAAAAGCTAATATTCTTGTTATCTCTTCTCTTGGTAAAATTACCACCCATGAGGTATTTTTCAAACTTGAATTACCTTGAATTTTTTCCTTCTTTTTTTAAAATCTAGAATGGTCAATTGGAGTGCGTACGCTGGATGGTTAGTGAAACCGAGGCCATAGCAGAACTGAGTTGCTCCAAGGATTTTCCAAGCCTTATTCATTATGCAGGTTGCTTTGGCCAGGTATGAAGAAATTTTAGTTACCTTCCCTTTGTGTGCTATATACAGTATCTTTTAATGAAAGTTTAGCCCATCCAAATGCAAACCCAAGGAATCATCAAAACTATATTCAAAGATTTATAAGCAATGCTATCTATAACAGCATTTCTAAGTGAAAACGCTTCTAAACAACCTAAATACTCGATGATAAGATGTTGGGTAAGTAATGAAGCTACATCAGTATGATGTCATTTCACAGGAAAATGTTCATATAGAATATTAAATTAAAATGTATTATATGTAAGTGTTTTGTAATTTGGTACTGATTTTGGTGAAAGAGTAGAAAAAACTTTTAAAACATGCTTTAGTAATTACAACTCAGGGTGCAATGAGAAGTTTTTATTTTATTTTTTGCATCTTGCATTATTTTCAGATTTTTTGCAATAAACGCATTTAACTTGTCAAAAGGAAAAATGATCCATTTTCTTGAAGTCAAAATCAAAAAGAAAATCTTTAGTAAGATATGTCAAGGAAATCTCTCTGTTAAAGATGGGTCAGTACACTAAAGATGAATCACAGTTACAGATAATTTCTACCTTAGGAAATCCCAGAATGAGTGAGATACAAACTGATCTCAGTCCCTTGTACAGAGCAAAAAAAAAAAAAAATCACTAACTCCCTGTGATGAGGATGAGTGTAAATTACCCTTTAAAAATCTTAGAACCACCAGCTGCCAATACAATCTTAAAAAAATAAACTCAGCACTAAATTAAAATAGATTTTATATATTTGTTTGTGGCAAAGAAAATTGCTTCTCATGCATATAACTGTATCCCCTTGGCTTCATAAACTTCCCCAGTGGCAATAAATTGTGGTATTGTCAACAAGAGATTATGTTTTTTCAAGCATGACAATCTCAAGTTCAAAAAGCAGAGGTGAGAATTGTTACCAAGGCTTTTTTTGTGTGGGAGTCATGTTAGGTGATACTTTATGTTGTGTGTTGGCAACTTCAGTTAACATATGCACTAATATGTAAGGTTTCCTATGGGAGCTGAGTACCATGCCATGTGATTTTACATTTATTATCTGGCTTCTTCTTTAAAAAAAAAAACCCGTTACATACTGTTGTTTTTATCCTCCTCATATAAATGAGGAGACTGTAAAAAACAAGTGACTTGTACCACGTTTCACGGCTAGTAAAAGCACAGATTGCAGGTTCTGTGACTTCAAAGGCTGGATCTGTCGGTGCATAATTTTTTTATGCATACAAGAACTGGGGTACAGGCCAGAGGTGTGGGGGGAGTAAGAGGATTCACCAGAGACAGAGTGGGGAGCAGAACAGGCAGACTGACTGAAATATACTGCTGAGGGGAGCAGCGGGCGAGATAGGAGAGGTCTGTAGCGCCATGTGGTTATCTCCCTGGCCAGGATCAAACTCATGCTGCAGCGGCTGCAGATAGCTTCGCAGATTGTGTCTTAACCCCTTGCGCCACCAGGGAGGCCTATCTGTGCATAATTTTGAACTCTAATACATATAGTTTGTTCTCAGTGCCACTGAAACAGCTGAAGAGTTTTTTACAATTTTATCTAACAACCGTGATGTGTACACTAAAGCACCTTCTACAGCTCATTACAGAACAGAAAATATATCTGTACAAAATTTAGGAAATGAAGCAAGAAGGAAGGAGAACATTCAATGTTTGTAAAAGCCGCGTACACGAATTAGCATCTTCTCTGTATATTGTCTTCCGAGCCCCAGCCCTACAAACAACCTTAATAGTTAACCAATAGTTAATAGTAAACATCTGCTAAGGATGCCCCTCCTTTTTTGATGGCTTATATTACTGGCCAAGGGGAAAACAGAATTTTTAAATGGCCAAAAAATTTGACCACCGCTAATCTTCATAAAGCAAAGTCAGTTTAAAAGGGAATTTTAATTTATTCTCAAATTGTCTGAAGAATTGTTCCATGTCCCCGCTTTCATTTGCTTGTCTACAGCCTGATGAGGAATTTTAGCTGCCAGTGGAAAGGCGGCCTGCACTTTTGGTCGAGCTTGCCAAAGAAAAGGAGAAAAGGTTCGCATTGCTGTTCTGAGACGCTAAGTAAATAATTGGGAATCCGGCATTCTTTGTCTTGGACATGTTGCTTATATATGCCAGTTTCTTTATTCAACTCTCACAGCGGGCTTCTCATAATATTGAAGCTATGGGGACAGAACAAAGGGAAAGTGCCCTTTGTAGGACGCCTTGGGTGATACTGAGGCTGCTTTGGCTGAACTAGAAGAAAATATGGAAATCCATGACCTGTTTGGAGAGCCGTGTCAAACATTCACTGCATGCTAGTATCAATCTTCACGTTGTTATTTCTAGCTGATAAGCATTTTTAATGACCTGACGTGCAGCTCTGAGCAGGGCCGTCCAACAGCGCCCTTAGCAGAGCTATCCTACCCAAGTGGAAAATGCAGCACCCCATTAGGACCTGGAGTTCTGTCCAGCCACCCTCCATCCACCACCACTTATGTAAGAGATAACCTGCGGAGATGCTGAACTTGGAAATGTTACAAAGCTAATATTTTCACAAGGAAGGCTGTTATTGAACACTTTTCTAATGGATTCAGCACATGCAAGTTTTTCGACATCAAGCAGGCACTTGAGCGTGTTCTGGTTTTGTTTCTTCAGTAAATACCCCGGGAAAGCACAGTACAGAGGAAAATTCCTCTCTTGGTTTATTTTAGTTGCCCTCTGCCCCCCTATAGATTCTTAAAGAATGGACTCCTCATTTGTGTCCTTTTTCTTGTAAAAATTTCCCTTAAAGATTCGAGTACCACAGGGTAGCCAGCAGTTTTTAGCGGTCTCCTGGAGTGATAGATCTTTGGGTGATAGAAATTGATTTTCCTCATCTTGACACATGAAGTCTCAGAGGGGGCAATTATTTCATTGCCTGATTGGACCTGGAAGAACTCACCACGGGAGCTCGAAGGCACAGACCTCGGGGAGACTCAAGGCAGGAGCAGGAGATGGCTTCCTGATGGCCTGCTCTACCGTCCTGCCAGAGAGACGATGCTGGTGAGAGATCTGAGGCGGAGTTGTCTCCATTCAGACTCCTGTCTGTGTGACTTGGGCTGTTTTATTTGAACATGAAGGTCTGGACGGTCTCGTACAGGCTCTTCCTGCCAAGCTGTCGGCCTCAGCGGCTGGGGGCTTCAGCCTGTGTCGCCTCGGTCACTAGCTCAGTGGGCACTGTGGTACATTCAGCATCAGGCCTGTGACATTTTGTTCCTGACTCCTTCTGTGCTTTTGGGTCAAGAGAGTCTGCTAAAGAAACAAACAAAATAAGCCTCATCGCATTGAACGTACATCAAGAGCTTTTTTGCCTACAATGTGTTCGAGCACCATTTTAAAGGTTTGCCCTGTTGCAGATAAAACCAAAAAAGGGGGGTGCTGTTTGCAAAAAGCAAGGGCTCAGCCATGCCCACAAATGGTCATGAGTGATGGGTTTGCTGGAGAGGGAGCTGCCGCCACAGACTGTGTATGATTGTTTTTCCACAATTTACTTTAAAAGGGGGAAATATTCCGTTGACTTTGTTGTTTCACCATCATGGGGTAGAAATAAGTAAACAGCACTGAAAGTGATGCAATTGCAGAGAAAAGCAAAATAGAAAAATCTTTGATTAGCGTGAGTAACCATGGGTTCTCTGAGAACTGATCTTTGAAAAATACAACCCCCAGCACGCCACACACCTGCAGGCCGCATGGCAACTGACTGTGATTTCTGTGACTTGAGAGGTGCAAAGGGGGTCAGAGGTCACAGGGAGATGAGCTTCAGTGGGTACTCAGACTTAGAAGCCAGAATCATGGAGAATGTTGACTCCTGCGCCGTGTTTAAATCCTGACTCTTCCCCTGGCCCCCAGCTCAGTGGCCTTGGATACATTTATTAAAAAAAAAAAATAATAATAATAAAAAAAGATTTCCATTTCTTCTTGTTTAAGATGGAGAGAGCAGAGATCATAGAATCTTCCTCAAAGGATTAATCTCACCACCTTTTGCCAGCTGTACTAAAAAAACACAGGCTAAATGTCAGCCCTTATGATTATTGTTTATTATTATCTTTCTTGCTATTAACATTCAGTTTATTTATTTTCCATATATCTAAGAATAAATTGCCAAAGAATTATTTAGGCCTTAGCCCATTTACTCAAATGCTAGAAGTACTTTTTTCACATTTTACTCTCTCTGAAGTCTACATTTTTCTTACTATAAATGCCATAACATTTTGACTGCTTTTTTTTTTTAACATCTCAAAAACTGGAGTGAATCTGATAACTAACAGGGCATCTTAGAATTGATGATCTACAATCACAGACAAATCTTCCTTGAGAACTTGTGATGGCCCCACACACTGTGGAGACTTTATGGATGGCAGTTAATAAACCTATGAAATACCTTTTAATTACATTTTCATCAGACTCTGTCCAGTGCATCTCATAAATTACATGCATTAATTGTCTCTTTAAACAATTTGTGTTACCTTAAAGGGCATACAAAGTACAACACTGAAACAGGTTAGGGAAGAGCAAGACAATCCCCAGACTGTATAGTTTTCAGTGCTCTATCCACTGAGCATGGGTGGCTGGATGGATGAAATGGATGTAGGCCAGAGGGACTTCTCCATCCATCAAACTGCATTGACTGTTCTCTGAAAGCAATGCTTTGGGAGAATAGAGATCTGAAATTAACCTGTTCCATTGACACCTCCTATCAGAGCAAAGAGAAGAGAAGGAGGCCTGGGAGGGAAGGTGGACACCACTGTTTGAATATCTAATAGATGTTCGCATTCATCAGGGCCTTCCTAGAGGGAGAAAATAACTGTATTTGTTCTGTTCTCCTTACTATATATACTTGTCTAGTAAGTGACTGTTTAAATTTTAGGACCGGGCCTCCCTGGTGGCACAGCGGTTGAGCGCTGGGTTGCAAAGCTGCCCGCGGCCTTTGCAACACCAGTTCGATTCCCGGCTGCTCCCTGGCCACTGGAGGAGGGTCCCACATGGCACGCAGACCTCTCCTGCTGCCCGCTGCTCCCCTCAGCAGTGTGCTTCGGTCCTTCTGCCTGCTCTGCTCCCCACTCCGGCTCTGGTGAATTCTCTCACCCTCCCGCGCTTCTGACTGTACCCAGTGCTTGTATAAATAAAAACAAAAAAATAAATAAATCTTTAAAAAAAATAAATAAAAAATAAATAAATTTTAGGACCATGAATCTCTAAACCACATTCTCCAGAATCAGAGCTGAAAACAGAATTTCTCTGTTTTCACTTTCACCAAAATCAGTGACTTATAGTCATTTCCATGTCCATTCAGAAATCCTAAATGTTGCTGGTAGACCAGGTGCAGAGTCAGCAGTTCCAGGGGAGGCTTTTGTTTCCGTGTAGTATCTTAGTGGACAGGACTCTGCCTATGTAACTTAGCCACTGCAGGACATAAACTGAATTTGAAGTGTTGGGCAAAGACCTGTCTTGCTCTGAAGAACAGAACAATGGTTCTTTGGTAATATAAAGAGTCTTGCATATTGAATTAGGAAAGACCTTTCATTATAAGTAGAGTTATCCGTGCCATCATAAGCAAGGAAATCAGCTTATGATAACAGCATGGACTGAAACTGACTGGAGAGTCTTCAAGAGTCAAAGTAACTCTGCCCAGACAGATCTTCTCCCAGAACTCTGCCCAGACAGATCTTCTCCCAGATTATCAAGGCCGTGCAAAGTCCAGGTCTCTAACCTCTTCCCCAGATTGCTAGGAGGGGAGATTTCCGAGGCTTCTGAAATGTAATATTCCATTTCTTACCACTCCTTTATTGAAAGTCAGGTTACTGTGAATTAGTTGAAGGGCATTTTGTATGCAAATGGACATACAGATCTATAATAATCTTTACATGGGTCTGTAAAAGTAGGAAAACATGCCTGACAAGAAGACACATATTAAACATTTCTTAGTGACTCGAATGTCTCTAAACTTTACTTGCTAAAGAAAGAAGTTTCAAGAATATGCAATTGTTTTTGTTCAGTTTTCTGACTGGTAAAATAAGGAGATTTGAATTGGATGGTTCCCTAAAATCACTCCCATTCTGCACTTTTTAATATATAAAAATTTTTATTTAACATCATAGAACAAGCCTAAGTTCCCAAAGGCTTACGAATGACCCACTGAAGGTGACAGGGCCATGTTTGTCACCAGAAGAGGCAGAGCCACCTGCTCTCTTTCTGGTTCCTTGCCTTAGAGATTGACTTCAAACCAGCAGGCTATACCATCTATCCTGAGACAGGTTCACTTCACCAGATATTTTAAGGAATTTAAGAACACTCTGCAATCTTCTGCCTCCAAGTAAAGGTACATCTTTCCTCCACTCTCCAAACATATAATGTTCCTATTTGGCATGATTTGGTAGGTTATTTGGGGTGGGGGTTAAAGGGTTTGAGCCTGGGGATGCTATTAATTCATGTGGGAAAGTCCCATGCCATTAATTTATATTGGGGAAAAAGCCTGCATATCCCCAGACCTCCAGAACAACAGGCCAGAACATGCCAAGTAGGAATGTTCTATGTTTAGATACTGGGAGAAACCCATAACCCAATTTCCTTTTCCTACCTATTTAGGCAAAATAAAGCAAGTCGTTATATGTTATGTATGGAAAACATCATCTGCTCTGAGCCAAATATCGCCTCTAACTCTCTCCAAGTCTGCCTCTGAAGAAGAACGTTAAGTTTATAGCCTCTCTCTCTCTTTTTTTTTTCAAGGTTTGATTATTTATGCATACAAGAACTGGGGTACAGGCCAGAGGTGTGGGGGAATGAGAGGATTCACCAGAGACAGAGTGGGGAACAGATCAGTCAGCTTGACAGAAATACACTGCTGAGGGGAGCAGTGGGTGAGACAGGAGAGGTCTGCTGTGCCATGTGGGTAGCTCTCTGCCTGGGGATCGAGCTCGTGCTGCAGTGGCTGTGGATAGCTTCATAGGTTGCATCTTAACCCCTTGCGCCACCAGGGAGGCCCTCAGTCTCTATCCAAATTCAACTCCTAGGCCTGTCCTGCAGGCTGTGCTCAGCCCCATTCTCCCAGCTTGTTGAGTTTCGTTTTCTACAAGGTCTGTGTTCTTTTACAGCTGACACTTTTCCCTGGGTGCATTTGTGGTGGGTTGTAGGCACTGATTACATTTGTCTGCCTGCTCTTTAAGGGATCTAATACCCCGCTTGCCCCGGGTGGAGAAAGTGTGGTCAAATGCTCCGTCTGTCCCTGATGTCACAAAGGCCCTTTTCCCCACATGAAGGGTGAGACATTAAAGGAGTTGGCTGCTTTTATCCAACATTCCTTAAGCAGATTAGTTGGCATGTTCAGAAGGTGAAGGCAAATTTAATCCAGAAAAGTATAAAAGTTCATGACCAGTCCGAGCAAATAACTGGGGGAAAAAAAAAGTGCTTTTAAAGGGTAAGAAGAGGTTCAAGGCTATTTCAAACCCATGATCATCCTTTTAAATGTCAAATTCCACCCACTAAACTCCATGCTGTTGTTTTTACCACTGTCATATTTTTTTAACATTATATTTAATTCTTCTATTTTAAAACAGTGAAATCCCATCCCCCTGCTTTCCCCTGAGGCCAAACATAACATGAAAACACCACAAAAGACTCAGTGGGCAAAATGCAAACGGAATGTGACAAAACATGCTGACCACTCTGTGTCTTTGCTTTTGAAAGTTTGTGTGCAGAGATTTGAGGGTGCTCCCTTTAACATGGAAAAAAGAGAACACTTTACTTAAAACATCACTGACATTTGGTCAGAAAGATCACGAGGATCCTGGTTGTCTTTTATACTTGGCAACCTAAGGCGTTGCCTTTTTTTTGTAAGTCTGGTGGTTGCAGGGGTTATGGGATTAAGAAGGCAAGATTGAAGCATTATAAACTTCAAAGCAGAAGTTAGTTTATCTCAAGAGTCTAAGGTTTTATAATAACATCCTTGAAGCCTGCAGTCTAACATAGTAGCAAAAAACCTTGTCTAGGAATCAAAAGATCAGGATTCTAGTTCCAACTTTGGATCTGTCTAGCAGAGTGACGTGGCATCCTTGAACTGGCTGTGCCTCCATTTCCCCAGCTATAAAATAAGTGAAATAAGGCCATTTCTTGTGTGTGTGTGTAATCATTTGATCACTTTTTTATGACATCATTTTTCATATTTGTACAATGTATGATTTCCCCATGAAATTCCCACCACCATTTCACCCGAGCACCATCACCTTAGTTCCGTGTGCTCTTCCCATCCCATCCCAATCCTTCTCCCTCCTCCCCTTCAGAATGTCTCTGATGTGGTATATATACATGGTGGAATATTATTCAGCAATCAAAAAGGTTAAACTCATGCCATTCGCAGCAACATGGATGGAGCTGGAAGGGATGATGCTCATTGAATTAAGCAAGCAAGAAAGAGAAAAATAGTGGATGGTTTCACTTATAGGAGGAATGTACAAGAACCAAATAAGGGATCAGGAAATCAGGCCATTCCAATGATTATCTCTTGCTCTTAAAATTCTCTGAATGTTCTTCTTCCTTTGACTTCAGTCAGAAATTCATGGATTGGCAGTTCATACTGAATGGGAATTTTTATTTTGATATGGTAATATCCTCCCTGGGTTATAGCCTACCTTCACTAATATAAATTTTGTTTTTCCCTGTCTTTATATTATATTCCCTTCTCTCCGTGATATTTCGTTAATTCCCACCGTCTTTGTGTTTATAGGAAAAGATCCTTCTGTGGCTTCTTCAGTTTATGCAAGAACAGGGCATCTCGTTAGATGAAGTGGACCAGGATGGCAACAGCGCTGTCCACGTGGCCTCCCAGCATGGCTACCTGGGCTGCGTTCAGGTACACAGGCGCTGCTGTTTGAGGACAGTGATGTGCTTATTAAGTAATAAGACAAAAGACATGGTTTTATTCACTGGGAGAATATCTAGATTAAATCATCCTTTTCTATTACAGCAGACAGTAAGGAATTACCATAATCCATGAACAGCATGGGAGTTATAATCACTGACCCCCTCACACATTTGAAAATTGTACATAATTTTTAACCCCCTCAAAATTTAACCGCTGTTCACTGGAAATCTTCCTGACATGAACAGTTGATTAAGGTTATTTGTATTATGTGCTATATTCTGACAATGAAATAAGCTAGATAGAGAAAAACATTATTAAGAAAATCCTAAATTGATCACCCCATGGATTTTAATCCTCTTCCTCTTCATATGGAGGAAGAAGAGGTAGAGATGAAATAAATCCGTGTTTAAGTAGACCCATGCAGTTCACACCCACATCATTCAAGATTAAATGTATATTGATGTATTTATATTTCCAGAAATCCAAACACAGAGCGAAATACAGATTCTGTGAGCTTCTGCTTGAGAACCATAGGGTATTGAAAGGAGGTTTTCCTACTTTCCCAAGATTACCCTAAGACCTCTGTGCTGAGAACCACAGACATTATCCTCATGTTCTCAAGACAGCAGGAAACCACTATTGATCTGATATCTCTCCCTCTTGCAGATACCAACATTCTTGCTGTCTTTAGCACGCTCTCCCTCCCAAGTGTAAGGAAAAGATATTTAAGAATGGCTTAGGAGAATTCCTTGGAGTAGGGAGAGTAGGCCAGAGAGAGTGTGTGTGTTTCCCCCCCTTTTTGGTTCTACAGCTGTATTTCTCGAATGAGCTCATAAAAAATGATCTACAGTCATGACAAGAGGCCCTGAGCTGTTGGTTCCTCCCTTAGCTCCTGGTTGGCCACCCACTCCACTCCCCAGTCTCAGGGAGAGGCAGCCCCCACCCCTTCCTGTGGAGCTGCGCGAGGCTGAGCCACACTGTGTGCTGCATCATAGCTGTGTGTGCTGGGATCCCGGCAGGGGTCTCAGAAGTTTGGGGCACAGGTGAATGCAAAAACTAAATAGGCCTTTGCACCCTGTCACCCCAGGGACAGAGCAGAGGGAAGAGCCAAAGAGAAGGAGAAAGAGTGGGTAAGAGTGACAGTGTAAGGAGAAAAAAGACTGATTTGGAAACCAAATTAAAATTTAGATTTGGCCTGGAATTCATTAGTTGAACACAAATCATAACTAACAGAATCAAACCAGTCACATCATTGTTATCATGGAAAGTGACCCACTGTCTATGGATTTGTTCCCATGTCTGCTAGAAATGTAGGAAAGGGTTACTGTCAAGCTATGGATAAAGGACAAAATTACAGAAAATACGTTTACTTCACCAAATTTATATCATTTGAAATGTTGTATGTATATAACGTCTTTAAGAAAGCAACACTTTTTGTTGTTGTTGTTGCTTTGTGTATGTGCTGCCAATTTTATTGCAAGTTCAACATGCTCATTTAACAGGTCCTATTGAGGTCCTACTGTGTGCAAGAGAAAACTGGGCAGTGAGGATAGTTGCTCAGAAAAGGAGAGAGGATGACAGGAGATTACATGGGGAAATGAAACTGTAAATGCAAAAATCTAGAGATTAATAAAGTTAATCTCCTCACATGCAACTGCTCTCTGGAGAAAGAAGTAAGTCGATAGGAACTATTCCAAGCGTCTGGAATTTTCCCCACTATTGTTGGCAAAGCATGCATTTTCTAATTTAAGGCACCAAGTTTAAAAGAGTGCAGAGAAATTGCAGAGTTTTGAAAAGAGAGAGATTTCAATTATACCAGCATTTGCACCTGCAAAACAGGATCAGCATTTTTTTTTTTTTTTTTTTGTGGAGAGAAAAGAACAAAATAAAAGCTGAAAACCTCATTTTTCCATTGAATAAAATACTCTCCTACCAAACAGTGTCAAAATAAACTTTTCATCGGCTAATAAATAAGTGAAGGCCAAAGAAAACCAGCTGATATCCCTAATTCTGTTTGAGATTTAAATACCTCTTTTTTGTAGCATGTGAAGAGAGGCGTCTGGCCTTTCGGAGCGCTTGTCACCCCGCTTCACACAGGTGATATTGTGGCAACACGGATCACCTTGGAAGTAGGAGTCTGTGGGTGTTAGATTAAAAGGAAAAGCAAGATTACGGAGAGACTACAAGTGAAATAGGAGGTGAGCAGGGTCCCTCAGAGCTGAGCAGGGGAGATTTCGACGTCTCTCTGAGTTTCTGGCCTTAATGGCCCGGCGTCTCTGTGATGTTCCTGTGAGGTTGGAGGCAGTGACGTTCGGGAAGGTGGCCCTTCCATGGTGAGTGGTCATGAACCCAAAGGAAGATGAGTCTAAGGAATTTAAAAATTATAAGTAATGTCTGTGTGGAAATCTATTACCTATTATCTGTGTGGAAATCTATTACCTAAAATAAATCCAGGAGTCCATGCTCTCCTGAGCGTGTCAAATGGCGTGTCAGATGGTGGCGGTGATTATGATCCATGTAGCAGCCTTTTGTGGAATCTAATGTCATCACAGAATAGGTACAAAAAAGTCTGATTTTTTTTAATATTGAATGATGTTACCCAGTGCTCCGTGAAATCTCTCTTCTGTGCTAATGATTCTTTGACTCTTGACATTAACTCCAAATCAGTTTGAAATCTCAGTCTAATATCTGATTCAGGGTATCTTCCTCCTCACCCAGATTAGACTCTAGGTTCCTGAACTGGGCATGGGGAACAGGCTGTGAGCAGCTTTTTACACATGTTAGCTCCTGTCCCCCTCTTTCTTGTGGGCTCCTGCGTTGGTGACCAAGAGGAGGCAGGGAGAAAGGTCAACTCTCTTGTCTTCACTCGGAAAACTCATGACATTTCCTGAGAGTCATCACTGCTTCTTTGGCTCACACTGGTTTGCCCTGATGTCCTCTGGGTCACCTTCAGATGCTGACTCCGCCGGGCGCAGTGAATGGGGTCTTCAGAGGGCCTCCCCACTGATGCCTGCCAAGGGAGATATGCCCCCAATCTCACACTCTCCTCTCCCTGCGTTGTCCCCCACCACCTCTGGCTGTTGGAGAAACATGTCCTTTTTAGTGGGGTGATTCCAGGCTCAACCAAGACTCCTTCTGCAGCGTCTCCTCAATCCAGGGGACGTGCCGTTGCCATGGCATGTGATGGGACAGCCTAGGCCCTGTCCTTTCTCTCCAGTTCTTCTCAGCAGGTAGTCTGGTAGGCTGAACAATAGATTGAGTGAGCTGCCAAGCCCACAGTAGCAGATAAGCAAAACTCCATTCTCTCCTGCTTAGACGTATCCCCAACTTTCTGAGCAACCCTTTGAAAGGGACAAAGCCCTTGCCCACATTCTCAGTGGCGGCACCCCACCCCTTTCTGGCAGCTTTTCTCCAGGCTGGGCTGGGATCTGCAGCGGTGAGATTGAGCCGCTGCTTCTCTGCAGGCTCTGAGTGATGCAGGTTCCCCAGGCCCTTCTGTGTGGAGCAGATGCCCCCACCTGCCCACTGGCTTTGGAATAGCAGGGAAGATGCCCTTCATCCCTCTGTTACAATCACTAAAAAAGAACATTTGAAGGGAGGTTTTGATATGATCTCCTGTCTCTGCGTTTTCTGACAGACCTTGGTGGAATATGGAGCAAACGTCACCATGCAGAACCATGCCGGGGAGAAGCCGTCCCAGAGCGCCGAGCGCCACGGGCACACGCTGTGCTCCCGGTACCTGGTGGTGGTGGAGACCTGCATGTCACTGGCCTCGCAGGTGGTGAAGCTCACCAAACAGCTCAAGGAGTAAGTGCCTCATTGGTCAATGACAGCGAAGTCCACGCAGCTCCAGGGCTGGGGTTCAGCGAGGTACTTTAGTGGGTTCCCCGCAGCTTGTACAAGCAAGTCCCAGCATCCCCCTTGTTGCTGCCTGCCTTTTCTTCCTCTGTCCTAAGTCCTCACAGCCAGCGTTCATGCTGAAGAGGCCATCACTGTGGAGGCAATGTGATATTTAAACAAAAAAGTGCAGAGAAAACTCCCGGGGGGGGGGGACGGTTGGGGGGAGCTGAAGCCACAGGGACACAGAGAGAGCCCCTCTCTGTGTGCATGTCTTCTGCAGCGGGGCCAGGGGATGCACCTAGATGCGTCTAGATCCACCTCTGTCCTTAATAATCTAGGAAAGGGAAGCTGATGTCATGTGATAATGCAATCTTCCATTTCAAAAATGTCTCAATGCATTAAAAAAAAAAAAAACAGCATGAGAGAGAGGACAAGACTAACAATGGGCCAATGTCTCAGTTTTCATAAATAGAAAAATATATTTTTGGAAAATGACAGAGAGAACCTGGTATCCATCACCAGCAAATTTCTAATAATAATCAAGCAGGGCGCTCATAAATCCTCAGTCTATAAAATTGTTCAATCAGTATGAAATTGCTTAACACAGTTGAAAATGATTCAATAGGATGTTTTTTCTAAAGGGTCATACACAAGGGAAAAGATCACAGAACATTTCTCTCCAGTCTCTGCACCAGAGTCGGGAGGCGCTCATGCGCTGTGGTGCCTGTTTCATTGGTGAACTGCACAAGGTCTGGGTCCTGGCTGCTTCTCTTATCTCTTATCTCTTATCCCCTGGGATAAGATGCACGTGTACACTGAGAGACAACAGTTCTTGTGCTGTCTGCAAAGCTGAGTGCTGTACATGGTTGTAGTTAGGCCAATGTCAAAATAAAATATGAGAGGTATGGGTGTAGTCGCTCGTGTTTTACTTTCTTTGTACCTCTGTGACGCTGGCAAGACCGAAAATGAACAGAGAAATCCACGTAGCTCGTCACAGTGCACTGTGACCATCAGGTTCCAGGGCACGGATTTCTCAGGAAGGTACAGCAGGGAGGATAGCACACGTTGCTTTTCCCACTTTGTGCTTTTGAGTGGGATATAGTTGTGAGTACCTTTGCCTACTCGAATACTCATTCTAGGTCACGAACATAGCACTACTGAACAGTGGTGTCCTTCAGCTCTGTTGAAGTCCAATCTGCCTAACGCTGATCAGGAATTATGAGCTAAATGGTGCCCCCGCCTCCCCAAAAAGAGATGTTGGCATTTCAACTCCTAGTATTTTAAAATGGGATCCTATTTGGTGATAGGAGCTTTTTTGTTTTTTTAATGCTTTGGAAACTTTTTTATTTTATTTGTTTCTTTACTTAGCACCATTGTTTTGTTTTGTTTGTTTTGTTTTTGTTTTTGTTTTTGAGGTGACAATGGTTTACAAAAGTGCATATGATTTAAAGGTACAAGTTCACACCTCTTCAGATGGATGTTGCATAACACACCCACCACTGAAGTTTCCATAATCCTTTAACACAGTACATTAGGCCCCTCCTGCCTTTGTCCCCCACCCACACAAACTCTTCCCCACACAGTAGCCTCAGCTCTGCAGTCAGATTTTCAGGGTTTAGGGATGGGGTCTCTGCAGAAGAATGAGGTCACTACAGCGAGCCCTATTCCCACTGTGATTGTGTTCCTATAAAAAAGGGAAACTTGGGCACAGCCTGACACACACCGGGAAAACATTATGTGAACATGAAGGCAGAGACCAGGGTGATAGCTGTGAGATGAAGAAGGCCAGAGATCACCAGCAAACCCCAAAAAGCTCAAGGAGAAGCAGGGAGCAGAGTCTCCCTCCCAGACCTCAGAAGGAACCACCCCAATCTCAGACTTGTGCTTCCAGAACTCTGGGAAAATTACTGTCATGTAAGCACCCACTCTGTGACTGTTGCAGAAGCCCTAGCAAACTCATGTACTAGGCATATGCTCAGATATTTTGTATATTTCATACACACAGTTCACTTGCTAATATGTATTAATTAAAATTGATTAGTCCTTTCTAAATACTTCTTTAGAATCTCGAGAACGACGTTTTTTTCTCCACATTCATACCTGGGACTCCACACAGTCAACCCAGTTGCCCCCCCCCAAATAGTTCTCTTGATTGTGTCATTATTCACTTTGACACCTAATAAACTCTTCAAAGCAAACCCTAATCTTTCTTCACCTATTTTCTATCCACCAAAGGTTTTCCTTAAACATGTGACATGCAGGACTAACTAGCACAGTGGGAAAAGCAGAATGCTTTAATGCATTTTTGTTTTTCACTCTTTCTTTAGACCAGGGCCAGCAAACTATAGACAGTGGGCCAAATCCAGCCCACCGCCTGTTTCTGTAAATAGTTGGCTGGACCACAGCCACACATTCATTTGCCTATTTAAGGCTGATTTCAAGCTGAGTAATTGAGACAGGTAAACCTAAAATATGACTGGTTGACCCTTTATGACACAACTTGCTTTAAATCATTTTAAATCATTAAGTTTTCAGTAGATGAGTCTGACAGAGTGAGTAAAATTAAATGAGACCCCAGATTTCTCTGGGCTTCGGGATGGAGTGTTAGGACTAAAAGTGATCACTTCTGAGAAACTGAGATAGTATTTGGGGCATAGAAGGGCATTATAAGGGCCTGATCTCACATAATGAGATATAAGGGGTCAGCAGTGAATTGCTAAGGACCATACTGGCCTTCCTTAGACAAGTGTCTACAATATAGCAGTCATTTTAAGAACACCTGTAACTCACTGATTTATTTCTGTGTCCTGGCTCATGAAAGCTGCTAGCATTTTTAATGCCAGTTGTGTTCATATTTTATTGTTCCTGTAACAAAAAACCACAATTTAGTGGATAGTTCTATAAGTCAAAGGCCAGAACAGTCCTCTCCAAACTAAAATCAAGCTGAGGACAGTTTGCATTCATTTTAAGAGGTTCTACAATAAGAGTCTGTGCCCTGCTTATTCAAACAGTTTGCAGAATCCTTGCTGGTGTAGGACCGAGGTGAGGCCCCTATGTCCTTGCTCTCAGCTGAGGGATATTCCCAGCGACTTGAGGACACTGCCTCATGTCAAAGCCAATGACCACAGATCAGTCCTTGTCACCCCAAAGAGTCATTCTGACTTCCATTTCTTCCTCTTCACTGTCAACGTCTCGTGTGATTAGATTAAACCCACTGAAGCCATTCAGGGTAACCTCCCTGTCTAACAGCTGTGATACACAACCTTAATGATTGTCCCCAGCAACCTGAATTCCCTTTTGCCATAAGGTAATACAGTCACACCTTCCAGAGAGTTGGATGAGGATGGGCAACTTTGGGGAAACCCCATTAAAGAAATACTAGAGTTCAGTAAATACTACTTATTTCTATAAAGTCAGAACCCACTTGATTTACTTATTTTAAGCTCTATAATAAAATGTTTTCTAAACAGATTGGACTCTTGGTAACCAGTGACTTTTAACTTTCTTTTATTTTTTGAGAAGATTTATTTAATTATGCATACAAGATCTGGGGTACAGGCCAGAGGTGGGGGGGGGGCAGTGAGAAGATCCACCAGAGACAGAGTGGAGAGCAGAACAGGTGGATGGACTGAAATACACTGCTGAGGGGAGCAGCGGGAGAGTCAGGAGAGGTCTGCCGGGCCATGTGGGTAGCTCCCTGGTTGGCTGGGGATCAAACTCATCCTGCAGAGGCTGTGGACAGCTTCATAGTCTGTGTCTTAACCCCTTGCACCACCAGGAAGGCCCTAACTTTCTTTACTTTAAAGTATGTTTTGATCTACATGCTTTTATGCACAGAGAAAATTGAGTGTTGCCATACATTCTTTTCCTTTTACCTACAAAGATAATAAGTTATTTCATTATTTTTAGCCAAGGTGGAAATTGGTTGTTTTGTTTCTGATAACTCAATTAAAACAATTACTTTAAAAATACAAATAATTTAGAAAGCGTAAGTAACATTTGGAAGTATATCCTTCCAGATTTTTTTCCACTGAGGGGTGTGTCTGTGTGTGTGTGTGTGTGCGCGCACATGCATCTATCTGCACTTAAATATAGAGGACAGAGGTTTCTTAAAAGTGAGATTATACTATATACAGTATTTAGTAAGTTCCCTTTTAACTTAAGGAAAGATATTTTAATATGTATGCATATGCTTTATATATATTAGGGAAACTTTTATTTCCATATTCAACTTCTTATCATTTTTACTAACTGCCATTATAAAAATAATAACAGATTTACTCATTTTTATTGATTAGTATTTATAGATTTTCACTAAAATGAATAATAAACATATTGTGGGGTTCTTTCATGTATTTTTAGGAAATTTTCTGCAGTGTACAATATGTACATCTATAAGGCTTTTAAATGCATGTAACATATTGCAAATTATCATGAAAAAATATGTATAATATGTATATACTTGTTTAAAGTAGTATCCATGAATGAGAGCTGTTTTGGTTTATTTTTCCCAGACAGACAGTGGAACGTGTCACACTGCAGAATCAGCTCCAACAACTTCTAGAAGCTCAGAAATCAGAGGGAAAATCAGTCCTTTCTTCACCCAGGTAATACTGGGGACATTGGTGCTTAGAGTTCTCACATGTCTCAAATTTTTCTGAACCTTTTCGGACTTCCTTTTATTAGCTCCTAAGAAAATGACAACAAAGGTCATTTTCTTCTTCTAAAGAGGAATAAAAATGAGTTGTCACAGCAAAAGAAGTTCTGGACCTAGGGCCAGAAGACCTGGGCTTCCGTCTCTGCCATTTCTTTTTCCTTGTCTATAAACAAATCGCTTTATCTGAGTCATTTTTCCATCTATGAAATGGGAAAAGGCTATGCAGATTTATAAGGTTGTTGGAGGTGGGATTAATTGAGAAAATTTGTGAAATGCTTTTGCAAAGCTTTTGCAAAACTGATACAGAAAGAGTAAAACAGGGCCTCCCTGGTGGCACAGCGGGTTGAGCGCAGCGCTGTGAAGCTGTCTGCAGTCTCTGCAGTGCGGGTTCGATTCCTGACCGGCCAGGGAGATTCCACATGGCACACATGGCGCAGCAGACCTCTCCTGCCTCACCCACTGCTCCTCTCAGCAGCGTACTTCGTCAGTCTGCCTGTTCTGTTCCACGCTCTGTCTCTGGTGAATCCTCTCACCCTCCCACAACTCTGGCCTGTACCCCAGCTCTGGCATAAATAAATAAATCTTTTAAAAAAAGAAAAGCAATAGTAAAACAGTTTTACTAGGCAGTAACCCAAGCATCAAGTACAATCCATGCTGTAGTCTGGTTCTGCTTGGCACGCTGGAGCCTTTGCAGAATGGCTTGAAAAGAAACTAAGGAACTATTCTTATTCCGGTCTTATTGACTTGTAAGTTCTTACTGATGCTGGAGGCCATGGGGTGACATGTGGCTGAGTGCTTTGAGCCCAGAGGGAAATCATGTCTTGTGTCCTTCATCCTCTTTTCAGCTCTCCATCCTCCCCAGCTTCCAGAAAGTCCCAGTGGAAATCCCCAGATGCAGATGATGAATCTGTAGCCAAAAGCAAACCAGGAGTCCAAGAGGGGATTCAGGTTCTTGGAAGCCTGTCAGCAGCCAGCCGGGCTAGGGCCAAAGCAAAAGAAGAAGATGCGGACAAAATCCTACGTCAGTTACTGGGGAAAGATATCTCCGAAAATGTCTGCACCCAGGAAAAGCTGTCCTTGGAATTCCAAGATGCTCAGGCTTCTTCGAGAAATTCAAAAAAGATTCCTCTGGAGAAGAGGGAACTGAAGTTAGCCAGGTTGAGGCAGCTGATGCAGCGGTCACTGAGTGAGTTGGACACGGACTGCAGCTACTCTGAGGACCCCAAGAGCACACCGGTGCGGAAGGCTGACAGGCCCCGGCCGCAGCCCATCGTGGAAGGTGTGGAGAGTATGGACAGCACAGAAAGCCTGCACCTGATGATCAAGAAGCACACCCTGGCCTCAGGACGCAGGTTTCCTTTCAGTATCAAGGCCTCCAAATCCATGGATGGCCATAGCCCATCCCCCACCTCAGAAAGCAGCGAACCAGACCTGGAATCCCAGTGTCCAGGCTCAGGAAATGCTCCTCTAAGCCAGCCCTCCGGAGAACCCACTCAGACCAGCCCTGACGGTGCCACAGCCCAGAAAGTGGCCACGAGTCCCAAGAGTGCCCTCAAGTCTCCCTCTTCCAAGCGCCGGACAGCTCAGAACTTGAAACTCAGAGTTACTTTTGAGGAGCCGGTGGTGCAGATGGAGCAAACTAGCCTTGAACTCAATGGAGAAAAGGACAGAGATAAGGCCAGGACCCCCCAGCGGACCTCCACCAGCAGTGAATCAGGGGATCAACTGAAAAGGCCTTTTGGAACCTTCCGATCTATCATGGAGACACTAAGTGGCAATCAGAACAATAATAATAACTATCAGGCAGCCAGCCAGCTGAAGACTTCCACGCTGCCTTTGACCTCACTTGGAAGGAAGACAGCAGACAGCAAGGGACATCCCGTGAGCTCTGCTAGCAAAGGAAAGAACAAGGCTGTAAGTACTATGTGATGGATATCCCATTTTCCTTTTGATTTCATTATGTTGTTCCTAATATGAATTGGTGACCCATGCCACCTTGAGCAAATCCCCAGAAAAATGTTCAAGCGATGCATGAAAAGCCAGATGCATGTGTTTCTAATGAGACAAGTCATGTTAGAGACCATGCTCTTCACGCTTCCTTTGGAAAACAATCTAAGCGAAAGATGAAATCACATGCGATTATATATTCTCATCCCCGATTTTCCCTAAATAATTTGATCCTTGCATATTAGGAGCCTTAGACTGGGAGGCATTTCTTCAAGAGCAGATCACCCATCAATGTGAATCAGGCCCTTCTTTGGCTCTGATTCTGCCTCAGGAAGAGTTTGTTTTCCTCATGTGACTGCATAGTTTATTCTCAAGCCCAATTAAAAAGCACGTAGTTACTCTATTTCCAAAGAATTAGCTATGCAACTTGGGAATGACTTTTGAAATGAACACACCACAGGGACCTCCACATTGTCATTTTATGATGCAAGCCCCTAAGTGTTGCTCAGGAAGTTGTGGCCATTAGAAGTGCTCGCCAGTCCTTAGGGGATGGCTGTGGATGCCATGAGCTACACTGTGTCATTGAATTTATTGGAAAACCATGCACTATAATCTGTGGTTTACATCCAGTGAATAAGCGATACAAACATCTTTTTAGGCGATGTTTCATGCTTGCTCTGTGCATGCCATGCCATAAAAAAATGATACAGCAGCCAAAATGCACAACTCGCAGGAATAGCAGGATTAAGAATACCCATCATACAGTCGATATATTATTTGCTAGAAGGTAAAGTCCTATTTCCTTGAGGTGTGAGAATGGCCTAAGTTCTTTTTGCAACACAAAAATCAACTTTTAGTCAATTTCTAGTGGGCACCAGTTTCAATTATTCTTTGATTTTCCCCATGAGTTGTCTTTGGCATAAAGGACTTGAAGACTTGTCCTGGTGTCATAAGTAGGAGTTATTTATTTCAGCTAGAAATGTCACACCTGTGCCCTAAATACCACACCTTGCAGCTACATATGCCCACGCTTGCATGGCTTGATAAAACTTTTCCAAGCAATTAAATGGTTTCTCTTACTAGGGAGTCAAAGAATGATCTCTGTGGTTCCCCAGGTTTCTGAAAATGTGTATGAAGCTTTTGTCCTAGGTCTCACCTACCTCTTGCATGCCTCTTGTTTACTGAAACGTGTGCATGTGCTGAGCTCTTTGCATGTCTTCAGTGATTTTTAATTGCACCTCTTTAGGAGATGTACAGCAGCTGCATCAGTCTCTCTAACACGCTGATGGAGGAGCATCTGAGTCACTACGCACGGTATGTGGTGCCAGGGATGCTTCATGCATGCACAGCAGTTCCATGCCCTTTGAATTGCATGCCTTTTGCAATTAGGGAGAGGCTTGCCAAGAGCCTTTAGCAGGGGCTGACACTGAAGAAGGAAATAGCAACTGTTCCCCCCAAAAGAATCAGGCAGACTTGTCATGGAGCCTTAGAAGGGTAGCCAGTACCCTACTGGAGGGGTTTTCTTCCAGCATCAGAGGGCAGAGGAATTCAATTTCCCAAATGTGCAGTGTTTCCCAGTTGACTTTGGCTGTCAGTCTTTGTTTTAATGGCATCAAGTACCCAGTTAATATAGAACGTCAGTTTCCTGGCAGGGGTGGAATGACTCAACCTCTGATCAGAATCAGAACTTTGAAACAGAGCTGAGGGTTTTTTTCATTGCTGACCATAGACTGAAAACACTTTTCGTCACCCTTCTGCCACCCTGGGGAGAAGCTGGGCGCTGCCACTCTGAGATAGCTCCTGCTTAACATTTGCAAGCACAAAGCGAGTCAGTCAGCCCATCAGTGAGTGGCCACAAATACAAGGGTCATTCTCAAACAAGATGTTTATGTCTCAAAACACATGTATATAAAAAAAATCATCTCTGGTGCCTCCTTGGGCAAAAACCTTCTGTAGCACAACTTTCACACCTTGAGAACATGCCCTGACCAACTGTGAAGACAGAGGAGCAGAATGAGAGCTGAGAGCAGCTTAGTTAATGCAGTCAGTGTCTCTTGACTGGTTTATTTCAGAAAAGATAAACCCCCAAACACATTTTATTTTTTAAGATATTTTTATTGAGGTAATGTTGGTTTACAATGCAATATGATTTAGGGATATAGGTTCACCCCTCTTCAGCTGCATATCCTCCACCACAGTTCACTGGGCTCCCTTTCTGCTTTGCAAAGACCCCACACCCTCCCCCTCTGGTAGCCTCAGTTATGCAGTTAGAGATCTCGGATTTGCTACTGGTTTGGTTCTGTCTGACCCTTTGTTTTGTTTCTCTGTATTCCACATATAAGTGAAACCAATCAGGATTTGTCCTCTTTTTCACCAATTTGGCTTAGCATAATCTCCTCCAGCACCATCTTTGGTGTTGCAAATGTCAAAAGATGAAAAAGAATTCATCTTTTTCATAGCCAAGTAGCATTCCGTTATGCATATACACACCACATGTTCTTTTTCCACTTGCCTGTTGTTGGGCATTTAGGCCATTTCTATAACTTGGGTATTGGAAACTGTGCTGCCGTGGACATAGGATCCCCCAGATGCTTTTTTAAAAGAGATTAGTGCCTTTAAGTCCATTAATGTAATTAATCCTTTAAATTAAAAGAAAAAATTTTGACGTGCATTTCAGCACTCCTCCAAAATGTTTCTGTGTGTGTATGTGTAAGTGTAAATAATTTACATACACTCAAATATGAATGCATATGTTGTGGGTATGAAGGTTAGCTCAGGATGCTAACCTGAGCTAACCTAAACCAAATATAATCTGCCCCTCTAAACCAAATGTAATCTGTTCAGGTTTCTATTCAGGCTAGAGGAAAGGTAAATCTTGGTCATTTAAGGAAGTACTCTGAGGGGTCTCATTAACTCAGCAAGTTGGGATCTGCTTGGGTCATGTTCATGTGTCACCTGAGTCTGGGCTACCTGTGGTCACACTAGGGCAGGGAAGAGCTGAGCAGTGCTGAGAGTGCTGACAGCCCAATGCCTGGAGTGGGGAGGAAGTAGAAAAAAAACACTCATTCCCTTCCTAGACATCGATATGGACCCACCACTATTTCCCCCAACCTATCTTCCCCAGGCCATTCCCTTCTCTGCCCTGTCACAGTTTGAGTGTGTCCTCTGGGACCTCTGAGTTCTGTCATTGTCCTTAAACAGAAGTCCCCAACACCCAGAAACAAGGAAGCTCAAAGACTTAGCAAACCTTTGGGGAGGGAGCACTTGGAAAAGATAGTTCATATCATAGTAGATTGTCTATGAGCAGGGGAACTAAACTGAACAATCTAATAGGATTACAAAAATCAGAGCATAAAATGAGGTTTTGAGGGCTGCTCGGATATCCGACACAAGGGGGTAGTCACACTCAGTTTAGTCCTTACTAAAGACTTTTTGGACCTGTTAGATTCACTGGCTTTAGTATTAACAGTTGGATGCAATGAAAATGAAATTATTCAATATATTTAAATAAGCATCCTGACCCCTTCTCCCCCATGCCTTATAAATCAGCCTCTACTTTATCATTCACAGAAAGTGCAAACTCTGGTTCATTGATGCCAGAGAGGAAATTTTTCTGCTTCACTTATCACATAAAGGCAGAGAGAACTGGCCCACTTCACTCCTTAGATGAAACAAGAATAGATATCTCAAAATGAAATAAGATTCCTTAGAGAAATTAAAACAAGCATGGGAATGTGGACATGAAAAAGAGTCTAGTCCTGCTTCCTTTTGCCTGTGGCACCTTGCTACAAGACAGAAAGGGACCCAAGTGTTCATCTGTCAGTGATGTCCCAAATTTGGCCTGAAAATTTGATTGAAGGTCATATGGCTCCTTTTGAGGAGCAGGAATTGCCTTGGAAATATATCACTTTGGAAACCAACGACTTTCATTGGATGAGAATTGGCTCCGAACATCAACGCTTCTGGATGACCATCTCCATGACACCTTGGGAGCAAGTGAGGTGCAGTGCACTCCAAATCCAGGCGTATACTGGAATCACATTTGAGATCCTAAGGAAATTTCATTTTTCCCAGACAAGGAAAAATAGAGCCAATAAATACATTTTAAAGAATGTCATATCTCTGAGAGAGTTCTGTTTGCTATTTATTTCTCCAATTTGGTCACAGTTTGATAGCAAAGAATCTGAATTTCTTTTCAATGCCCTTTAAAATTAGATTCAATTCTGGGGCCCAAACCACTTTTCTCGTTTATTTCAACTGCAGAGGATGACTGGGTTTATAACAAGCAGATTTATCTTTACTTTTTCTTATAGGGAACAAGTTAGTTTTGAGTCATCACAAGGCTAAGGGAATGTTTGCAGTGACTTGTCTTAAATGCCAATAAGACATTCGTTTCCCAGAGTTTAAGTCTAGCCGGGATCTGGAAGGCATGCAGTGAGCACTGATAGCAGATAGCGATCAGCACTGGCCTCAGCAGCTACACCCTCGCTTGTCTGTCATCGTGATCTTTGGGGGTTAGCCTGAGGAAACCCCGAACCCTAATACCAACATGGGAGTCAACCTTTAAAAAGACATTGAGCAATACACTCCATTATGTGGATGTTACTGCCAAGGAATTAGCCACACTGGGAATGATACTCCTAGAGCCAAAAGCCAGTGTCAAATGTTTTGCATGAATTTCAAGGTTGTTCCGAGCTACTTCAATGAGAGGGGGTGTTTGGCACAAGATGGCATGAGGGTGTGGCCATGGGCATCTGCTGTGTCCACTGGGAGGTCAGAGTTCGGGGTACCCTTCCCACCCCCACATCCCCCAGCACACACACATACTTGTGTTCTTATGGTCAGATCTTCACATTGAACAGGAAAATGAGCAAAGATGTGAAAGATAATGGGAAAACAGAGGTGAGGCCCTGGCTGAAAGCTGCCCCCAGGCAGAGAGGTCCTCAGCCCCCGTCAACAGTGATTCCAAAATCATCATGGGAAAATGTAGTCAGCACAAAATGAATCCAAATGCACCCTTGGCACGATTTCTCTGGATGTGATAGAATCACTACATCTTATAATTGTCTTTATATTTTGACTTTAGTCACTTTTTTAACCTAGTATGGTTTTTAAGGCACCCCAATGAAGGAGCGCAGCCACAGCCAACTGAATCTCACCAATGTAACAATTCAGAAAAGTTTGTTCAAGTGTGAATACTGAAAAAGTATTTAGAAACACTATAGACATTACAGTTTCTCAAGAACTCTAGTTTCAAGTTAGAAGTCCCGATGGGAAGTTATTTTTTCTGCCTTCCTTTTTGAGGGATCCAGATCCAACTGGGAGGTGAGGGCGATGACCTCTGATCCAGCAATACCTAGAGCCTCAGTGGTGCCCCACCCCTCCATACCTGGTTCTGTGGCACAATTCTCTGCCCCACCTCTGGCTCCCTAGGGCTCAAATTCATTTCAGAGACAAAACCCTCATTTTATACTGCAGCTTTATCCTTATGACTTGGAGGAGGAAGAAGAAGCCATCTTGAACCGTTTCTCCAAATTATATTAATAAATGGCAGGTTTGCCTTTGAAACAGGCTATGGTTTTCAGTGTCTCTATTGTAGAGTTATGTACAGAGAAAAGGCTTATGGGATGGGGAATATTTAAAAGGATCAGATATTTGGGGGATCTAAGCACAACTTAGCAAACTCTTTATAAAAGCTGTCAGAGTCCCCAAAGTTTATGAGAGCATGATTGACACATGAAGTTTCTTCTCATAAGCTCCTCTACCCTCTGGAGAAAGAAGGAAGCATATTCTGCCACAGGAAGACAATGAAACCAAATAAGTAGCAAGGTATAATGAGTCGAGACATACTTAGAATAAGCTATTGCATAATTTAATTTTTTTAATGTAAATTGAAAATTTGCTGTACCTAAGTTCCCGTGTCGTTTGTGAAAGCAGTGCCTAGAAAGGCAGGGGATCCCTAGAAAGGCACAAAATGAAAAGGTGCAACTCATAAACACTCTTGAACTGAGGGTAGGAAGGTACAGAAGGGAAACCTGCCTTGGGAACCAAAATCATCCTAAAAAGACACTCTGGGTACTTGGGTGCACGAATTTTTATACTTTGAACCAGAACCTTTTTTTAGTAGATGGAATTTATAGAAAAGCTCTTAGAGCTCTGAAGGCAATCCCAGAGTAACCAAAATAAAACAAATGCGCGGACATGGACCCTTGGACTAAGCCTCCGGGTGAGCTTAGGGGCTGTGGAAACACACAGGCGATGCCTCGATGAGTCAGCAAGTTCGATGACTTAAAAAACTGAGATTTAAATGGAAGCCTTTTCTGTTTTCCAATTTTGGTCACTCAGAATGTGATTTCATATCCAAAAATGAAAGCAAGGAGCAGCAAATTATCTGAGTAACTCCTGCCAGAATTACCCAAACACTTTTCTTCCTTTGAATACTGGTAATTCAGGACTAGGTAATTGAAGGGTGGAGGGAGGCTTAAATTATCCTGATAGCCATCAGATAAATGTCTGAAATTAACATTTTACTGCATAGATTCAGCTCTAATCATGCTGCAGAAAGTTCTTTTTAGTGTTTTTGACCACAGCATCCTTTAAAGCGAATATACTCCATCCAAGTCCTAACAATGATATCATCCTTAAACTAGAATGTAAGTCTTCACTTAAGCTTATTTATTATTTCAATTTCATTTTTTTGCCAAAGTGCTGTGGGTATATATAATAATAATAATGTCCCCTGTGCCCAGCCTACCCCGCCCGCCCCCCCCCCCGCCGCTTCCCACTCCCTGCTTCTCATTTCAATGTTTTCCTTGGTTATTCTTTATTTCTAGGTCACATGTTCAGGCAGGACTTTAATTTTATCTTTACTATCTACTGACACCCTGCTGTATATAGAAAGACAAAAATTCTAACCCTTGTAAAGCATGAATACAACGTGTACCAGGAAATATCTAGCTACTTGCTCCATTTAAACTATTTAAATCTTCATACGGACAGTGTGGTAAATATTATTAGTATCTAAAGTTTGACAACTGGAAATTGAAGCCCAGAGAGATGATGTGTCTTGTCTAAGGTTGCACAGTAATAATGGTAATAAATGGTGGAACCAGGATTTGAACACATTCAGTCTAGTTCCAAAATCCACGTTCACCACCACGAGCCACATGTGTCTACCTCTATGCTGGCACCCAACACTGCCCCTCACCCCAACACTGCCCCTCACCCCAGCACACACACTTCCTCTTTCAGCCATGAATATGGTTGCTTCCTTCTTTGGAGTTAAATCCATATGTGGTGTTCATTTTTATTATAATGGCTATCTATTAATCACAGGACTGCTGTGATTTCTTTTCTCATAGAACATTTTGTTTTCCCTAGAAATAATTTTCATTTCTCAATTTATAATCATCTGAAAACACTCTACCAGAGGCAAAACCCCCTCAGTGCATTCAGACAGATCAGGTCTGTCTCTGTGTTGATCTCTTCCTGCCAGCTCTTCTGGCCAGTGACCCTGCTGCTGTTGGTGCTGCTCCACTCTCAGACTGGGTGGGGGTCCCCTCTATGACATCCTGGGTGGGCCGTTTGCTTCTCTCTTGTGTAGAACTCTACTTCTGGAATCTCTCTTTTCCTTTTTCTGGTTTATTCTCTTGCAGGTAAGCACAGTTTTCCTTCCTAGGGAAGTGAAGACAGACCTTGCCTGTCTGAAAATATCCTCAGTTTGCCCACAGTGGATTAGGAATGCTTGACTGAGTAGAAAATTATAAGAAGGAAATATTTTCCCTGGGAATCTTGAACACATTGTTTCATTTTCTGCTGCTTCTAATGTGCCTATTGAGGAACTTCATTTCTGTCTAATAGCTAATCCCTTGGAAACCTTTCTGATTTTCTCTTATCCCGAATATTTTGATTTCTTGATACTATGCCTATTCTATGATGTCATTATCATTTTTGGGATGTGGATACTCAGCAGACTCTTTCAACTGGAAGTCTATGTACTTCAATTCTGTGAAATGATTTTGTAACATTTCTTTGAAAATTGTCTCCCAATTCCTCTTTTAGTTTTTCTGGAAATCCTATTATTCTAATGTTGGACATACTGGACCAATCCTCAGATTTTCTAAATATCCTTTAGAATATTTATCTAAACCTTTGCATTTTCCAGTTCTACTTTTTAGGATATTGTTGAACTTTACCTTCCAGTTTTTCTATTCACTTTTAGTTCTGCTCTAATAGTCTTAATTTCCAATAACATTTTGATGAGTTCCCCATGTTCCTTTTTATAGCAGTATGTATGCAGATCTCATTTAAACTTTTATGATCAAATACAAATTATATATTTTTATCTTTCCTTCATTTTTACAGTAAGCATGACACACTATACAGTTTTGCTTCTTCCTTTGTTATTTTTTACCTAACATGTTGGAGTTATTTACGTAGTAGTAGAGAAAGAACATTTTCATAGCTATATATTATTTCA